TTTTAATCATTGAAAGTTACCGACTACTCACAAGTGAGTAGTATCTCACAACACTAGTATTCGCTGTTTCCCGTTTTGTGCATTGTCACAGTTGATGTTGTTGAAGACTTTACGTAGTTAATGAGTCACTCATCAGGCCTAAACCGAAGAACCTCAGGCAACTCTTGATCCCCCAGTTACACAATCCTTTGAACCTTATTTTTTTGGGTAGTCTGATTGAATTTGGAATAGAATACTTGCTGAAAGTGTAAAATGGTTTCAAATGTCAAAACAAATCATCTACATAACTGGGTTACAATGCAGGTGGTGGTGGTGCAGTGGTCTAGTCGTTGTCACCTGCGTGCTTTGGACCCTGCGGTCCCAGGTTCGAACCCTCTACACCCGCCACCCAATTATGGTGATAGGCAGCATTACTGTCGTTCGGCTCAATATCACGCCTAACTTGGCAGGGGGCGCTATGTGGTTCACCACTCCAAGTCCCGCGGGTCTTGGGTTGCCGGTTTCCATCACTGGACAGCAGGTTCTCGTGACTGGTTGGGGTCCACCATATCCGCTGTTCATCACACCTAAATGTGTGTAATAGAAAAACGAAATGTTTATATGTGATTGTGTTGTTCAGTTTCACGAAATTCTCGAAACAGTAGAAACCGCCGATTCGAAATAGAAATATTATTGCGTCGAAGATATGCGTGTGTATAGTACCCTGGCATTATCCAGCAAAATGGAATCCTTGATCGAATTCGGCAATACCGAGACGCATAGTGAGTTTCAGAAACTTTCCTTTTAGTTAAGAAGATATCAATTGAAACAAATACCACGCAAAGCGAAAAAGTATTGGTTTTCGTGATTCTATCCAATCAGCGTTCCCCTGTATCCTCATATGAACTCATTGGTCGCATCTTAATCGATTAAGTCGTTCTCGATTTCTATTGGTAGCCAAGCGAGCCAATCAGATAGCCAGTGCTGTTTCTCTCTCGGATTGTGCGTATATGGTCTTCGTGTGGAAAAGGAGTTTCTGATTGTTACTCATTTGTTGTTTGGAGTTTGCAAATTCGATCGTAAGCTTTTTGCTATGGATTGATAGGCGACACAGAGATTCTGTTTTGCCTGAGGATGACAAGTTTTTGATCTAACTGTCGAGCCTGGCTGACTAACCAGTCAAAATACAACAACTCAACAGAGATTACAATAGCTTGTAGAGGCTGGTTAAAATTCTGTCAATAAGGTAGTACTTATTACAAACCAGTGTGAACAATAAAATCAAATTTCAAATTTTTATTAGGAGTCAAATTACAAAATTGATGCTTAGTGAATCTCCATAGGATTTCTGCACACACATGCACACATACACATACAAACTGGATTCGGTTTGTAGTACAGTTAAATAGCAAATTATAACGTTCACTGACGGTTGCTCAACAGTTGCGTGTTTCAATCCCTCATAGAATCGATGTCTGGTGAACATAAAAATTGGAGTGGAAGAGAGTTCCAGGTATTGCAAACTCCAACACTAAAAGAACTCATCCTCATCATTTTCATTTACATTAAGCCTATTCTGTCTTGCCTTGTCAACTTTCCTTTCTGGTTCTTATATTTATCACCCGTTTTCAGAAGTCCAAGATCCTTCTATCAACACGTCAGTTGGATTCAATGTACGCGCAACTCTCGAAAGAATACGAACGAACTAAAAATCTCCTTTTGGAATTGAAGAGGCTCAGTCTACAAGTGACCGAATATCCGGGGGCATATTCAAACCAGCCGGGGACCTCGGGGAACCCATCGCATGTGAGTGCCCCTTATTTATATCGAGTCACGTTTTTGGGGAAGGCATTCTAGCGATCGGACTGATCTTCTATCGTTTGTCCCAGATGACAGACTGTCTGATCTGGAGTATGCAAACGAGAATGTGTTGCTGAGTGAAGACGCACGTAAGTTGTAAGCTTTTTTAGATAGTTTGAGAGCTAGTGTAGCGATGTTCGGCATGGCTTTTGCACCTTCAAAGTGTTAAATGTCACTACAAAATTGGGTTGGTCCAGCACCCAGTCTCACCCTGACTGGGGAAGTAGTAGAGAAAGTAGACAAATTTTGCTATCTGGGCAGTTATATCTTACCTGGCGGACGCATCACAGATGAAGTATCGGTGCGGGTGCAAAAGTTTCGGTTGGCATTTAACAACTTGAGACATCTGTGGCGTAGCCGTGACATTCGTGAAGGATCGAGTGTATGCCGCGGTAGTTCGGCCAGTTCTGCTGTATGGAGCAGAAACTTGACCATTAAGAAATCAGGATTAAGATAGACTGTNGCTGTTTACGCAGCATTGCACGAATCTGGTGGGGCAGCCGGATGAGCAATGCTGAGGTTAGGCGCAGAGTTTTAGGTATCCGCGGTCGTCCACTGGAGTATGTAGTTCACCTCAGTAGGTTAATTTGGTTGGGACAAGTGTTACGCATGTCACAAAATAGGTTGCCTTGCTGATTGATTTTTGCCGAGGCAAGTAGTGGATAGAATAAAGCCCAGGGTGGTCAAGCTAAGACCTGGTACGAGGGTTTGAAAACCCTAACCATGAGACTGGGTCATATAGATTCCGTAAGGCTCCCTGGCTGGGGACTCGGGGATGATCGTAACCGGTGGTTACAGACACTGATTGAGTGATATGGCTGAGTGTATTCAAAAGTGGCGTTCGTGCATCTTCCTAATTTTTTGCAACATTAGTTCACGGTAATTCTCCATTTTCTATTCGACTGTTCTCCCTCGACTCTTTTTCTCTCCTACTACTTTCTTCAAACGGGCAACAGCCAAAAGACAGCAACCAAAATCGGCGCACGAAAGTGTGCATGGTTAATGGTTGTACACACTGAACTGAACTTATTGTCCAGTTGTGCCCAATCAAAGTTCATTGGAAATTCTACAGAATCAAGGCGAGTGGCTTGGGCTAGTTGACCGAGCGTCATGTTCCTTGTTGCAGGTGTTCCATTTGACCGATAGATGAATGAACCCAATCGATCGTGTATTTATCGGACTGGCATCGGGGATTCCCTATTCTGTCTAACAGTTATCAGATAATTTAATTCAATAAGTAAATGTGTTAATGTCTTTTTTCATGAGAGTAATGAAGGATTTGTTTTAATTTCTTAAGGGAATTCGTCGCTTATTGGGCAAATGAAGCGTGACTTGAAAAGCTATGAAGCAGTGGATAGTTGTCTTAACCTGGCAGTGCGAGTCTATCGACTCAACTGGGGATCGAACCCTGGACCTTAAAGACAGAATGCAGAGATGAGCGAGGTGCCAGGCCAGCAATAAGCTCACAAAGATCGATTGTGCTATATCGTGTTAATGGAAAATGAAAAACAGTATGATCAGCTGCCCCGGGGTGAACTGCATGCTTGCGTTTTCCTGTGCGGTCCCCGGGTTTGCGATCCGCATTTGGGGATCGATGGATTCGCTCATGGTATGGATGATACCCAACCAGATCAAAACAGGTGTCCAGTGCTTCTTAGGTTTTCAGTTCACGCTTCATTTACTCTTTAGTCGAGGAATTCCCTTATGAAACCCCATCTTTGTTTATTGAGTATTGCCCATTGTTGAACCTGTGCAGTACGCGTCCTACTCATTGGAATTCTGCGAGGCAATCATTTCTTCATCGAGATATCCTCACATGTATAACGACCAACTTCAGTGTTACCAACCAACTTACCCCATCAAGTTACCTCATCATTGGTGGTCTGCAAATTTTACTTGCTGATTATTTTCACTTTCATTTAAACTACTCATGTACTTCACAAAATTGAAAATTTGCTATTTTTTCCAGTCAGACATGTTCTTTCCAGTTTGATATATTTCTTGCATACTGAATCGTTTGAAAACCTTTCAATCACCATTATTTCCGCTACATCTTCCTCCCTCAACTTCCCATCAGACACGTCACTGTACAACACCGACAAATACGACGGGGAACGGAAAGCATGCTCTGGACGTCATCGAGGAACAGGAAAGTGAAGTTCCTGCTGAATCTGGGTGAGTGAGAAAGAGGAAGTTTGGATAGATCATTTTTTAGTTGTCCCACATGGATAAAGATCAAAGTTGACATTGAAACATTGTTTTCAATCAAAGCAGCTAACGAATACCTGCTGGTGTTGTGATGCACTACTTATATTTGTGAGTAGTATTGTATTGGAATAAATCTGAGAATCACATCCTTAGGGGAGACGTTCGCTGCTGCAATCTTTACCTCTAAGGCACAGCTTGCCTTATGACTTGGATTGTGCAGTAGTTTGTGATGTCTCCACTTACATTCATAAACTTCACAATGGCCTTTTACTGGGCAATCAATGATTCTATGGTATGACTTTGCCTAGCGAGTGGCCCGACTCGGTATCCCGTGCCATTTCAATTTACCCTGCTTGGTTTCTGAGCCGGATTACTCATAACTTGAGTACTGTACCGGATTGATGTCCGGTGATACAGTGACACGTAGTTACCGAACTCGTGTTATATTCGCCCGGACTAGGGGGTTCGTTTTCTGCGCGTCACTTTATCACTGAATGTCAGTCCGGTACAGACGACTTCAACCGCGATGAAGGAGCGGCAGCGACGTCTATCCGGCACAAGTATGTTCAAGTAGCCAATAGGTTTTGTTTGACCGTTTCCCACAACGGTCGAATATGCACAAGGCCTCTTGGAATGAATCAGTGTGTTCGAAATTGTAACTACAGAAAATGCACACCTACCGCCGAACTGTTCCACCGATTATCCAGAGTGCCTGTCGAAATTGTGATTGGTCCGTTTCAAATGAGACGCTTGTATCTGTGCAACCTAATTTACCCGACTCTTATCCTAATTCCGGGTAAATAACTTTCATCAGTTCGGGACTGTTATCTGAAGTTCTAACACATGTAGTGTTAGTGTAAATCAGATCTAGCCAACCAGGTACGCTGTTTCGACAGGAATAGAAAACGGCACCTGGATTACCAGTACGTCTATCGATCAATGGTATTGACCTTTTGCAATGAACAACTTCTTTGCTGGGTCACATGACCAAATGTTTTCTCTAACTAAGATTTATTGATCGGGATTTGCGGACACGAGGAACGTTTAGCCGATACACAGCCACCATAAAATACACCATCTGAACAACTAGGTGAGAATGAACATTTTCCAATCTAGGAATTAGATTTGCTTTCTGGATATCTGAATATTGGAGATCAAATAAAGTTTAGCAACACCTCTTAAAGTCCTGGCATCGGCGTGGAGACTCTTAGTACAGAAGGAATCGAGTAAAAATTGAACGATATTTAATCGGAATACAGTATGTGGGTCCGACATCGAACGCGCTCCCAAGGCTTCTAAGTGGTGTACACATCAGACAATAGGAGAACAGATTTGGATTGGTTGTTCTGTTCGGTCCCAATGTAAACTGATTGGCACAGTGGTAACGCAGACACACACAGCTTTCATGCCAGGACAACAGAGCTCAGATCTCAGGTGGTTGATTGGATGTGAAATAGTGGTTTCGCAGAGGTTTAGTCGCTGTCACTGGTGTGCTTTGGATCCCATGATCCGTGGTTCGAGCCCCACCACCCGACATTGTTGGTCAACAGCTTTACTGTTGTCCGGTTCAATATCAGGCCTAATCTAACGGGGTCTTATTTGGTTCTCCACGGGGTTTAGGCTGCCGGTTTCCATGACTGAACAGCAGGTCCTCGTTACTATGGGGTTCGCCAGTATATTATTTATCACACAGCTGTGGTATGTAATGAGAAAAGAGCGGAGATCTGGTCTGTTGATGCTCCCGACAGGTTTGGTTAGTCCAAACCAATTACACGATGGAACACTTCATAATCACGGTATTTATATTGATACTCGTTTGCTCTCTCTTTCATTACATAGTCAGATGCAATTTTGGGATGGTCCCGATCAAAAATTAAAGAGTTGAGAGAATTTACATTTGGCTCACAGTGAATGGTTAGTAGAGGCGCGAGAAAACGATATTGATTTGAACTGACCACACTGCTTCTCGGATTTCACCTTCACGTTCAAACAATCCTCAGCTCTTCCAGTCAATCATTCACTCGTGGACGCACTGCAGACTCGAGTTTCGCTCTTGGTAGAGCTCATCATTAGTGCATCATATTTATTGCCCCACCGTCCGGGATTTGAACTACGGACCCATCGGGCATGGAACGGTGGATATGATGCACTATTGACGAGATCCAATAAGGGCGAAAGTCGAGTTGACTGGAAGAATCGAGGATTGTGGGCGAGGAGGTGAAGTCCGAGAAGCAGCGTGGTCAGATCAAATCAAAATCGATTATGCCACACCACTTGGCCCGGACAGTGGGACAGTGAACATGCACTACCCATAAACCCTAATATAGAAGCAAAACACGAGTCTATGGTGCCTCCTGGAGTGTATGATTCACTGGAAGGATGGTGAGTTGTAAATGAAGACGAAGTCTGAAGGATGGTTAGTTCAAAAGCAAAATGTAGAATTGTAGATAGCGGTAATGTCCTAGTGCAGTTACACGAATGTTGTGTATTTTTAATCCCGTTTGTGATCAAATTTATGTTTGAAAATAATGAAGTCAATGGATTCCGTGCTCAGACGGCAATCAGGTGACTCAATAACCTGGACCCTCA